AAGATGCTCTCTATTGTCAACTGTGTTGCAACAATTTTGTAATTTAAGATGGGTAGATGAAAGGTTGAAGCTTTGTTTCCTGTTATGGTTTCAAAATTACTGGTTTTGATATATACAATGGAATAGAGTTGAATTTGTGCAAGGAATGATGGTTACACTAGCCATTTCTCTAGTCTATCTCAAGAAGACAATCTTAAACATTTTCAATCTTCAAATTTGTAGGGTCAGGCAGAATACAGTCATAAACCATCTGAAGTAAAAAACCATATATTGCCCTGAATCTACACTGCAGCCCAACCGGCTAGAAAGCTTCTTGTCGAGTAATACTACACATACTCCTACTCTTTATTCCGTTTTTTACTCCTTTGATTCATCAAAAGAAGTGAGTCACACTCTTTTATTCTTTTCGTTATTCTTTCTCCAATAAAATCAAGACATGTGACGGGAGTAATACTTCCTGAGAGTCCACATATCATTTTCCCAGCCTGTCTAACAACACTTGCAGCAAGCTGTTCATTGGAGGTCTCTCAATCATTTCATGTGGTAGGTTTTATTGGTTGTATGTAAGCTGCTTAGCAATTTGTCTTGACTGCAAAGGACTCTATGCTCTACCAAAATAGGTTGGGTTGGAGATAATTAGTTAAGTTAATAAAAACACAACAAAAAAGTTATTGAATTAACCAATTTGCATCATTTTCCCCACAAAATAAGCCTAGGACTTTTAGGAAATAAACCATTAAATGTTTGTATTTCCTTCCATTTTGAACAATTCCCAGAAGTGGGTACTGTGTTGTCTTAAATTATACAAACATTTAAGTATTTATATACGAATATCTAAGAAATTATTAAAATGCTTCAACTTTGCATGGCTTTGACATGATTATGCCTCCTTGAGTCCATGTAAACTGTTTTTAAGGAAACATACAGGCATGTATAATATGATCCTAAAGTCTAAAGATTTAATTCAAGTTCTTCAAGATCCCATTACAACTTCACAAGGTTTGAGCCCAAAAAGATCTGAGAATCTACACAAGTGTTCTGTACTTTGCAAAGCCATTGTGGTTGCAAGACTCAATCAACCTAAGAAAGAAGATTTATATTTGAGCCCCATAATGGATGGTTGAGTGTGTAACATGATTGTTGTACCTGAATGGTTACAAATTCATTGCACAAGCCACAAGGTCTTTTTTGTACAATTTACTTTTCTTGTATGATTTGCAGGCTAATGCATACTCTCAGGTAGTGGCTGCAAGTTTCTCTCATTATCCAAAAAAAGGAGAAGAAGAATTGAGCCCCATAATGGGTGATAGAGTGTGTGTGGAGCATGATTCTTGTACTTGAATGGTCACAAATTTGATTCTTGCCCCACTCTGTCAATCAAATTCGTCATACAAGGTCTTCCTAGTTTAGTTTCTCTCTTGCGTGGTTTGTAGGCTAATGTATACCTAAATTGTATTCAAATTGATGGACACACAACTTCATTCAATAATAGAATAAGTTTGAGACTTCACAAGTCTGACGGTGAGATTGTGTAACAGTAAAATGAGATTAGAACAGCAGCATAAACTTGCAGGGTAACTGATTCTAGCGGACTCAAAACCATATCAAATAGTATATTTCATAATACTTAGAGCATCCACACTAGTGGATAATAGGGAGATATTTCAGTTTGCATTCTTTCCTACAAGAGATAATAACTAGTGTGGAGTGGAGATAATTGAGAAATATTTATCCTGCAAATGTTGGGATATTGTCAGAAAAATAAAAAATAAAAATAAAGCAGTGAGACGCAATTGCGTCTCACTGACCACCCAGCGGGCGCGTGGGCGACACGCGCCCGGCTGGGCGACTGAGAGTGGCCGCTAGCTGGCGGTCACTCTCATTTAATGCAAATCTGGCCGTTGCTGGCCGAGCAACGGCCAGAATTCTATCCGTTGCCAGCAACGGTCACATTTCCGGCCGTTGCTGGCAACGGATAGTTTAAAAAAAAAATATATATATATTTATCTATAAATATCACATGCCTTCACCATTTTTTTTTTTACATATTATCCCACTCTCAATTCATTTCTATTATTCTACTCAATTTCTTTTATCATAATGGAAAAAGACAATACTCCCAATCAAAATTCACAATTCAATTTTCCTTTTTCTCAACCATCTCCCCAAAATTCTCAATTTCAAACAAATTTTCAATTTTCACAAAACTCTCAATTTCCACAAAATGCCCAACTTCCGGGTAATTTTCAATTTTCTTCATTTCCGCCAATGTTTCAAAACTCTCCATATGCGGGGTCTTCTCAATTTCCTATCAACATACCAAGCGGCCAAATTCCGGGTAATATACAATTTACTCAATTTTCGTCTTTTCCTACACAAAGCGAAAATGAAGTAACAATTACTCCACCACCCAAAAATTCGGAGAGTCGTCGACAAGTATGGAATGTCGAGGATGACAAAATGTTGACACGTGCTTATTCCACAATCAGTCAAGATTCAAGTAAGGGCAATGAGCAAAAGGATGACACATATTGAAGCATATTACAACAACAATCACCCCAAAGGTGGCCCAAGGAGAACGAGTAAAAAATTAAAGGTGCATTGGGGTCATATTGCAGGCATAACAAGGGATTTTCATCACATTTATTGGTTGAGCATATATGGAGCAACAACGGCAATTAATATAACCGCTTTGTATTTTAATTTTTATGTACTTTAATTTCTTTTTAATCGCTTTGTATTTTAATTATTATGTACTTCAATGTATTTTTAATCGCTTTGTATATTAATTTTTATGTACTTTAATTTATTTTAAGTAATTAACTTTAATTATCCTTTTATTTAATTATTTTTTAACAATTCCAGTTTGCATATTTTGCACATTTTCGTAGGCATGTTGGAATAAAATAGATAAAGAAATAAAATATTAATTTATAAATAAAATAGATAAAGAAATAATTAAAATATAGTGAGTTAAATGGTGGGGTCCACAAATAACTCTTAAATCTCTCCAGCTGATGTGAAGAAGAGTTATTTGTGATTGAGTGAGATAGTGGAGAATGAGGTGGATGCTGGGGCCCACAAATAACTCCTAAATCTCTCCAACTGATGTGGATGCTCTTAGAGCATCCACAATGGTTGGGAAGAATTGGGGGATAATGTAAGAGTGATCAGGAGAGAGAATGTGGGAAGGGGAGGAAAAAAAACAAAAAAATCAAAATCAAAAATTAAAAAACAAAAAGAAATTAAAAAAAAAAGAGTCAGGCGCGCCTGACGCGCCCACGCGCCCGTGTGGGCGGGCTGTTGTGCGCGAAACGCGCACAGCAGCCTCCTTTTTCTTCTATTTCTTTTTCTTCTTTTTTTGCATTCTCCTTGAATTTGCAAGAGAAATATATCCACCAATAACTCCACCCCACACTTGTTATTATCCCCACCCGAGATAATTCATCTGACATTATCTCCATAATATCCACTGATGTGGATGCTCTTAGAGCCTTCGAAGTTTAGTTAAAAAGTCAATCAATTCCTAAAACTTTTTAAATGTGTAAGAGAAAATTACACTTTTGGTCCTGTGACTATTGGGGTCTTATTAATTTCAGTACGTGACTTTAAAAACTAACAATTTAGTCCCTTAAGTATGTAATTTTTAACACATTTGGTCCATCCGGCCAAATCACCGGCCAAATGTCGCCGGAAAAATATAGACTATTTTTAATTGTTTAATAATAAGGGCAAATTGATCATTTCAGCCCTTCTTCGTTCTTCTTCTTTCATCTTGCAGCCATGGCTGACAAAGTTTTAATGAAGAAGACAAGATTGATTTACAAGGTTGGGCAGCAAAGAATGCATTTGGTAGTTAAACTTGTTGAATCCATGGTGATCTGACAAAGAATATATTTACCTACCTTTCTAGCTCCCTTAATGGCTATGCAATATCCATCTCTGAGCTTCGCCTTGTACACTGTTCCAAATCTTCCTTCCCCAATATTATTTGACCCAGAGAAATTCCCAGTTCCCTTGCAAATCTCATCGAAAGAAAAATCAATCGTGCCCAATTCTCCATTGGCAGACGCAGCAATAGAAGATCCTCAGGAGCTCGAGTTCCTTAATCTCCCCAAACCTTTCTTCTCGCTCCCGGAACAACTATCTGTAATGGCGAATTTGCAGAAAAGTAATGTTGCGGCGAAAGCTCCGGGCAGTTTTCTCCTAGAGGCTTTGATGAATCTCAAGAAAGGGTAACTTTTCTGATTGTCTGTAATGGCGAATTTGCAGAGCTGATTGCAACTGACGGTGGTCGCGGGAGAAGCCGACGATTGCTTTCTCATTTGCTGAAGTGGCGTGTTACTGGGTCCATTTTGGCATCATTTGGTTAAGCTAAGGGATAAGACGACTTTATTAGGCTTTATATTATTCACGGCTTTGACATTCGCTATCACACTCAGCGACCGTTTCCCCCCTCAGTTTTGACCGTTCCAGAAAACACAATGAGTTCATGAAATGATTGTTCCTTGTCTTCGCGCTTAACGTCGATGACTTCATCGGAAACTTCCGAAGTTCCGATGTAAATCCCCCGAATAGAAGTTTTTGAGCTACTTTTCACCATTGTTGCAAGAAGAAAGAAGAAGAAGGATGAGGGGTGGAGAAGGAGATGAAGGGTCTGAAAAGACATATCTGTCCCTATTATTAAATAATTAAAAATAGATAATATTTTTCCGACAACATTTGGCCGGATGGACCAAATGTGTTAAAAATTGCATAGTTAAGGGACTAAACTGTTACTTTTTAAAGTCATGTACTGAAATTAACAAGACCACAATAGTCACAGGACCAAAAATGTAATTTTCTCAATGTATAATTACACTCATCAACAATTTATTTTGATTTAATGAAGCCTAAAAATTAGTTAATGACCTTGTGCTCAGATAGATGGCATGTAATGATCGAGCGACGTCAAAGCTAACAGATATTACAATGTAATAGAGTCAACAAAAACGATGAAATTAAGGCAAATGAGATGAATTTCACCGCCGACCGGCCGTCCAACATTCCTCCAAGTGTCAAACAGCACTGAACTTACGTTTGTCCCACTGTCACACCACGCTTCTTTGCTGCCCATGGGGAAACGGAATTCTTCCTCTCTCACGCCCTCCTCCGCCTCAATGCACCCTCTCCAAACGCCGCCGCCGTCGTCCCGCCACCACCAAACCGGCGATGAAGACTCTAGCTGCCGTGAACTGGCGCTGGTGACACAACCCGCCATTACTCCCTTCTCCGGCGACCAGCGGTTCAGCCTGCCCCCCGGTTGGGGTGTGGAAGAAGTCCCTCGCTCCGATGGCTCCAGAATTGACAGGGTCGGGGTCCCACTCCCCCATTTCAACTTTGATTAATGATTAATTGCTTCTTCTTTCTTTGATTCTTCGATTCTTTGGCTGAAGATTGATGAAATGAGTTAATGTTGATGCAGTATTACTTGGAGCCGGGGACTGGGCAAAGGTTCAGATCAATGAGAGAAGTGGAGAGGCATCTCAACGGAGAAACAGTTACTCGTAGTAGGCGGAGCAGATCCAGTGCTCTCATTGTATATAATCGTCGAAAGGTGATTTCCAAACACTTGAACAATTCATTCGTAGATTTAAACAGGATTTCCAGTTTTTTTTTATTTTTTATTTTTTTTTTAGCTGACTGCAAGTGTTAATTCTGTTGTTTCTTGCTTGCTCTCATCAGAGTTCATCCCGGAAGATGATTGTTTATGGTGGAAAGGTAAATTCTCTGTCTGTTCTTCTGCTGCCAAATTTCCAACACCTATGAATATCTGTATCACACATCTTAGAACAAAGGTAAAACCTAGTAATGCTGCAATGTTGATCAAATGTTAATTTGATGCATAAGATGTTGAGGTAAACGAGAACAATAATTGAAAACAATGGCAGAAAGTAAAGAAAACAAGATTTACACCTTAAACCCTAAACCCGCTCAGCACTTATCATCCTCCCGTAACAAAACTTTATTCAATCAAATGGATTATCCAATCGGAAGAGGATTATTTTTGATACATTAGGCTCTCCAGAACCCCTGCCCAAGAGTTGTTGAGAAGAGGATTATTTGATAATGTAGTGATTAGTGAAGAGCTTTTGGTAGGTTGAATGAAATAGCGTTTGGAAATTTTGATGTTATGGTGATATGTGCAGATGTTGAGGCTGGATGAGAAGGAGCTGAGTGCAAACCGTCAGGCAATTGTGCCTTCGGGAGCTGTAGTTATCCGGCCCTATCAGCTTCCTGATGGTTGGATAGTGGAGGAGGTACCCCGTAGATTCGGGAATTCAAGAGATAAGGTATGGTACTTTGCTTACCCTTGTGATGTCACTGCTAGAAACACGTTGAAGTGGCTGCGTTGGGCTCTCCTGACCTAGGAGAGTGCCGGTCTCGAGAAATGCTTAAGCGTTTTGTTAGCTTGGGGTCTCCCCCGCCTTTTCTTGATCTGAAAAAGAAATTAATGTTCGTATGTGCTTTTGGTGTGCGTTTGTGCAGTATTACTACGAACCTGGCACTGGCAGGAAGTTCCGGTCCAGGGCAGCTGTTGAGAGACACTTGACAGAATTGAGCGAACATGTTTCCTTGTCTGAAGCACTGGAAGAATTGAACGAGAATCGGCCTCTATCCAAGATGTTTAAATTGCACCACCCCACAACTGTAAGTACACCGACTACCAAAAACTCCTGCAGAATTGACACTCCGAGATGTTTAAATCGCGTAATAATCACTACTGTTTCCCGCTTCCTGTTCCCCAGAACTCGGCTTCGCAGAAGAGGAAAACATCTAGAGAAGACTCGGTTCTCAGGCCGCCATCAAAAGTCAATTGGGTTCTCGCTAGTCCTAAAGGGGACGAATGGAATCCTTTCATTGGCGATACATTGGTCTCGGATTCTGTAAAGCAAGAATGGAGCAACAGATTTACGTCGCTCATGAACAACGAGACCTCTGCTTGATATTTGTAGGACAGGAAGACATCCTTGTACCTTTCAGGAAAACTATATTTGTAGTTTTATGAAACATAAAAGTACAGACAACATTGAACTTCATTTGAAAACCTGTGCTGTGTATAAAGGCTGTTATATTTCCTAATCGAAATCATTATTTATGGCAGTTTCAAAATGCAGAGAACTGTAACCAACACACACCCAGAGTATCTAAAGAACATCACTACCAAAACTAAACAGGAAAGAACAAAACAAGAAAGGGATTACAGGCAAATAGAAATACTATGTTGTCTTTTTGTTTCCTATAAGATCAAGAATGCAGTTTTCCAGATAAATATCGGGATAGGTTATCCCTCGCGATAGAAGCAGCCTTGTCGACGGATTGAGAAACCTCTTGCCTGTACCCGGGATCATGGTGATGAGGGAGAGGAAGCTCATCCAACACCTCGTCTTCCATGTCGATAATGATGTTATGGAGAATGCAGCATACGAGGATGAATCTAGGTAACTTATGTTTGTCCGGTCTCCACATGTTTCCTTGGATCATTTTCCAGACATCCTTCAATCTCGCCAGCGCTCTCTGGGCCACAATGCGCGTTGCGAAATGCATCTTGTTGAACTCGGCTTTGGGTTCCGAGAGTTCTTTCCCGGGATAGGGAGTCATAAGCCATGGATAAAGGGGAAACCCGGAATCGCCAACTATGTATTCCTCTACCTCGGTTTCTGCTGACAGCTTTATCGTCTTGCCATTTAGCCTTTCTCCCTTCTGGCAAAGTTTGAAGAACGTCGAGCTTTGGAGAACCGAAGCCTTGCCCATCTTCCCGGGCAGGCCGGTGACAATATCCCGGAACTTCATGTCAGGATCCACGATCGCCTGCAGGATCATGCTGTGATTCTCCATCTTGTCGACCCACACATCGGCTGTTTGTTCAGACGAGGATAACATCATGGTAATGTGCGTGGTATCAATCGCGCCACAACAGTTTGGGAGGCCTCGTATTTGTTCGAATTTGGATTTTATCCGACTCACCTCCTGTTCAGACGACGGCCAGCAAAGGTGGTGGATGCCTTTCTCTTCTATGGCCTCCACGAAGCGCCAAGTCACTTGAGAGACAGTCGAGTGATGTGCCCCGAACGAATCACCAACCGCAATTAGCGAATTACCCGAGCAGAGTCTCCGCAGAGCTAAAGCTACTTGTTCGTGTAACGACATTGGCTTCCCACTCGTGAACACATAATTCGCAGATTTCACCATCATGTGCTCCTTCACAAGCGAGCATATATACTCAAATGTCCTTCTCGACATCTTGAACACAGATTGGAAGCTGTCCATACCCTTTGAGGGCGAAACATTACCTATGCAAAGCAAGACATATAGTTCTCAGCACTAGAATATAAAGATCAAATTGACTTTACAAGGTCGTAAAAAACGCACAATTCAACCATAGCTGTTCTCGTATTTGTCAAAAAATGGAAGACAACAGATAATTCAAAAGAAAAATGTACATAGCTCATGGCAACCAGAGTCAATTAGTAATACGAGAAAGAAGTACATAATAATACGAAGTGCAGTTCACAATATGGATCCAAATAAATTCATAATTTTTAGAACTATCCGGGTATATAAAACATAATTGCAAACGCAAAGGAGGACAAAACAACGGGAACCACATTGAGAATATGCTGATTACAAATGTAGGTATCCCACATCCCATACCCCCGACTTTCCCTTCAGATCCCTTGTAAATGGCCTGTAGGGATTACCAATTCAACCTCAGGAGTAATGCATGCCTTGGCCGTGAATCTGTAACATTTACTCGGTGCATTTGTGCCCCGATCAAGGTATATTCACAGTTTTTCACCACATTTCAGGCAGCCCAAATTTCTTAGAAGAACTAACTTCATAATATCTGGTTTTATCACTAACTTAATGTAAATCAGCATCCATTTTCTATCATCTACAATGTATGCTAGGCGTTTAAGCCACAGGGTAATTCCCTCTTTGTTTCTTTTTCCTCTTATTTGTCTTATCCGAAGAAACTAACTTGCGAAATCTCCCTGAGTAAGAATCTTGTAACTATATCATCTTAACTACCAACGCAGACAATCTGTCATTGCTCATAACTTTTTCTAAAGAAACACGAAAAAATCGGTTAAGTAGAGAAAGTAGAGAAGCTATATATATATATATACACACACACACACACATACCATACCATACCATACAAATAGTATCTACATTGTAAGAATTATGGTGCACAATGCACAAATTCGGTGACATTTATTCCTGCAAGTTCAACTTGTTCCCGTCTCCTTTTCTTTCTCTTGAAAATGCTATATGAATGCAAATGTCTATGATTGTTATTGCACCAACTAGAGAAAAATATATAGCTTTCTCTGTCTATTAAGCTGTTTAGACTCATTAATATCTTATGCAAATATTTGCTTGTACAGATAAAATATAGACCAAACCTCAAAAGTACCCCAACTATAAGTACAAAACATTGCAGCGATTCAAATACGACATCTCATGAGCACGTTAAACAACCAAATTTAGTTTAGCATTGTTAAGCCACGAGGATTGTGACATCCAGACTTACATCAATTCAACGGAGAAAAAGACATGATAACTGAAGGACATATAACCTAAATTTTTGAGGAGTTCGCATTTGGAGATCAGGCTAAGAACCAATATCGCAGCTACCAAGTAAATACATTGTACATCAACTTATACCTTCATTGAGATATTACTCCGAAGAGCTAAATCATCTCTTTTTTTCCTCATTATGCAGGAATACCAAGAAGGATTTATTACGCTTCGTGGTCTTAAAGTCAAGACTAAATGTGAAAACTTTCTTAACAACTTCTTTTGATGGATCATACAGTCCACTTATGAGTAAATATATAATTTCTTGAACCTCAAGAACTTGACAATGTGCAAAATATATGTTCAAAGGCACATAGAACATAGAATGAGATAACTTGAATTGACCAAGCAGAACAAAACCGGGATACAACCTAGTCTAAACCGAGAGAAACTGTATGAGAGGCTCAGAGGCAAACTTTACAAAATTTTCTGCAAGAAACATCATGAGTTCATATCCTAGGATTTCCAAGATTGATCTTTAGCCTAAACTAGAAACCCTGGGCTAAACAAGGGCTGTTTCTCATATTCATAGATGGCAACATGTAACTTCATTGGGAGGAAAAACACAACACATCCCAAATTGGTATTTCACCTTGCAAATCAGGATTCAGTCAACCCAATCACCCAGCCAAGAAAATTGCTAAAAAACTGAATGTTTAAAACCAAACCTAAGCAAAATCCAAAAACCAACATTGCAAGACAAAAGAGCAAACTGATAAACACTTCTTTACCTGCAACCCTTTTGGATAACACAGCCCACCAATCAGCAGAGCCATCCTCAGAAGCCCCAGAAGCCACACCCTCCTGTTGTTCACCCTTCTTCTCCACCTTCCTCTTCTTCTTCGACCCTCTCACTGGAGCCATCAGTGCAGACTCGCAAAACACCCAAATTTGGAAATTTTTATTTTCAAAAGAATCAAAGCTATTACACCCCACCACCACTCTACACAATACAAAACCCCAGGATTCCCAGGAAATAAACTCAATTATAAATCAAGAAAACTGGAACCCATTCTTCCCTAGCCAATATTAACCCAAAAAAGGATCACAAAAACAGTGGGGATTGGGGAATGAAGATGCAAAAACCAGCAACATTCTCCAAACCCAACAACATATGCACGCCCACGTGCACATAACACATATGCGTGACGGAAAGATGCTTAGCTGAAGAGTGTCATTGGTGCCTGTATTTCAGTGAGGCGTTTTTGGAGGGCGTATTGTGTATTGAGACATGAAACTGCTCATTTTGTAGACTTTGACAACCAGTAGAAAATAAAAAAATAAATAAACCAAAAAAAAAAAAGAAGGAGAAAGATAGATATAAATGGAATTAAAGCTTTAAAGTGACAGGGAAATCTATATGCACAAATATGAAGAAAAAAAATGCATTTTTCTCTGGTCAATTGATCTCAGTTTTGGTAGAGAGTTGAGTTGAGACAGTGCGAAATGTCAGATAGGGAGACAGTAGATAAATTTTATCTACTTATGTATACTGTTCTCTAACAATTTCAACCGTCGATATCTTTTATGAAAAAGTAAAAAAACATTATTTGACAGAACACCCAAAGATTCAAAGTGATCGAAGAGAATTTTGCGATGGAAGTATTATTAATCACTTCACAAATTCTGATACATTTGCCTCACAAGAGTGGAAAACGACGGGAAAAAAACACAAAACCTGGGGAAAAAAACAGTAGACCATTAGTAGTATGAACGCAAATATTTCTGAATTTACTGAATTAAGTCTACTTCTATATCAAATTAAATTCCCTTCATATGGTTATGGTTACACTACACATTTATATTATATTTTTTATTTTTATAATTATAATTAACAATAATGAACTTTTATATTTAGTCATGTTCGGTAAAATAATTAGCTTTATCAGTTAATTTTGACTTGTTTGACCACTATTAGCTGTTTGACTTGGTTAAACAATTATTTGATTAACTAGCTTTTTGTAACAGCTTATTGCTACAAAACGCTAAAATTTAAAAAACTGTTCAAAGTAGTTTTTTTTCGATAAGTTTTTTGAAAAAGTCATTTTGCGTGTAATCAACTATTTTTTTTTTTTTTTTTTTTTTGGAATACTAGCATGTAATTAACTATAAGCTAATAGCTAATTTACTAAACATCTTTCTATAATCAACTAATGTTATCAACTAATTAAACCTATTAACCCAATCAGTTAACAACTATTTACCAAACACTCCCATATTTTTTTTAGACTACAATCTAATGAACTTTTATATTTAATTTCTTTCTTTTTTACATTTTCACAGGATTTTGCGTGATATTATTATTATTATTATTATTATTATTATTATTATTATTATTATTTTGTAATTTGTAATTTGTAATTTACACGAGCATTATATTGATTTTATTGGTTTGACTTAATCAACTATGTGTAATTTATGCTGGTTTATCACTTCGCAATTCTTTGCAATTATTATTGTGTGGATCATATTCTATTTACTGTAAAATAATATACATTCAGTACAAAAACAATGTACATTCAGTACAAAAATAATATACATTATATTCAAGAGATGTACATTATTTTTGTTCTGAGTGTACATTATATTGTAAAATGTACGTTTAGTACAAAATAATGTATATTTAATATATTAAAAATGTACTTTTGTTATGGTTCACATAATATTGTGTGGACCATGATCCACACAATAATTTGCCGATTCTTTTTTGGTAGGGTTACAAGATGAGCTTCACCAAAACCATTTATTTAGGTAACAATTATGGTTTTCTGTAAATAAAAATATATGTAATTTACTAGTAAGGTATGATTAATTAATACGAGAATAGGAGGTAAGACTGACAATTTTGTTTTGCCACTAGTTTGAACAAAAAACCAGCAGTTGACTGCTGGAACTGAAGGAGTTTCGGTTGTACTGAATTTAGAGTTCGGCCCATTGGGCCATTATAGGATGGCAGGCCCATTGAGCTGTCCTAATATGGAGGGAGGGTGTATAATTATCAGTTTATTAATTAAGCCCATCTTAATTATTAGGGATTATTATTTAATCAGGGTTTAACATGGGGTCAAGTTTAAGCCCAACTTAAATCAGGGGCAAATTATATTATGCACCGCGGTGCATAATCGATTATGCACCGTGCGTCTTTTTTTAAAATGAAAATTAACCGTGTTTATTTCCGCCGTTTCGCACTCTTTTGCAAAAAGTAACTCTGTTATTCAGTGTCATTTTGTATACACTGCAGTTTCAGTTGAACACAACTACAGTTTCATTTCGATATAACTATAGTTTCATTCGATATTTATAGAATCAAATATGTGAAAATGTTATTTAATTTTATTTTATATACACTATAGTTTTATTAAAACACAACTACATGATCATTTTGATATAATTATAGCTTCATTGTACAATATACACTCAAATATGTGAAATGTTATTCAGTTTCAGTTTATATACACTGCAGTTTCATTTCACTATAACTACAGTATCATTTTGATATAACTGCAGTGTCGGTTTGGATATACTGTAGTGTCAGTTGGTGTTTAATACACCAAACAAACGGACTCCGTTAACTCTAACGGCGGGCCATTTCTTTACTTAAAGAAACGGCGCCGTATATGGGCCGCGGTGCATAATCGATTATGCACCGCGGTCTATAATATAACAACTGAAATCAGGAGGCAATTTATATCGTGCACCAGGGCGCACATTGCATTGTGCGCCCTGGTGCAAAACGATGTTGTTTTGCATTTTTTTTTTTTTGAAAATTTTGTTTTTTTGTGTTTGCTGTTAACTTGTAAAAAAAAAAAAAAAATCATGTTTTGAAAATGTATAGAATTGTATACTAAAATATACATAATTGTATATGAGAATATACATAAACTTGTAACTGTTAAAAAAAATCGCGTGTTGAATGTACATAATTGTATACTAAAATGTACATAATTGTATAAAATAATGTACATAATTGTATACCAAAATGTGCATAATTGTATAACATAATGTACATAATTATATAACATAATGTACATAATTATATAACATAATACATATACACTCTGTCGCGTCGACTGGCGCGGGGCGCATAGTGCTATGTGCACCGTGGTGCAGGGTATAACGATTGAAATCAGGATAGAGGTGTTGGCAAATTATTGTTTGGACCGTGGTCTACACAATTATGTGGATCACGGTCCAAAATATCGTTGTGAATATTATTATGAGTAAAAATAATATACTCCGTACATTATGTGTTAAAATATTGTACATTAAGTGTTAGAATAATGTACATTACGTGTTTGAATAATGTACATTATGTGTTAAAATAATGTACATTACATGTTAAAATAATGACACATCTGGGGTAATATAATATATATATTATGTTTTAAAATAATGTACATTATGCTTTAGAATAATGTAAATTATGTATTAGAATAATGTACATTATGAATTATAAAAATGTATGTTGTATTTGGACGCGCGAAAAATAAAATTAAACAAAACGACGTCGTTTTCATACCGTGGTCCACTAGTCCATACAACTATGTGGACCACGATCCACGCAATAACTATTGGGAGGTGTTGTATTTAACTATTTATAACAACTTAACATTATAGTATGACAAACATATAGAATTTCCTCCCTTTTTTTTTTTTTTTTTTTTTTTTTTAAGAAGAACATATAGAATTTTTCTATAATTGGCACCAGTATAATGTTGATAGTACTTAGTATAACAAAAATAGTGCTCATGATTGTGCATATTACAATCGACATGATAGACTTCTTGATCAGTTTTTTGGTTATTTTCTTATTTGAATTTACATTCTTGGTCCTTGAGGATGAGCCATGTTTGAAATGCGAATAAGTGGTTTCCAACCCATTACAACGATGAAAGCGACTACAAGGTTCCAATCTAAAAGATCTTGAGAAATGGACAAGAGTAGGGACCCTCACTTTAATCTAATTGAGCCAATCAAGGTGCTATTGTAACATGATTGAATTTGCTTAAAAATTTTTATAATGTATTTTTAAAAGACGTTATAGATGTTCACTTCTCGAGATTTATATGAACTCTTTTGTTCCCACCTCCCGTGCCTAGCATTTTATATAATTTGATAGAGGCGTGTCACCATTTCCGAGTCCCCCTTAAACGGTCAACGACCATTCCCTTCCCTTTCACATTCTTCTCGTAAATCTCAGCCATTGAAAACCTCAATTCCTGTCGTCCTATCCTAACTTTAAGTGCAAACTCAGTCGTCGGTTCACAGACTACTAAAAACCTGGAAAAGTCAACACTTTCTCAAGAATTTTGGCAAAACCATAGACCCCATAATACAAACAACGTTAAAAAATTCACACAACCCTACAAACCATAAGCAGACAACCAAACCCCATTTTCACATCAATCCTCCTTGCCGTGGCGTGGCTGCCAAGTCTAACAACAGTACATGTACCCCCTTTTCATTCGTCATGTCAAAATGTCTCAATATCTTTTCAAGATCACATCGTCCACGAGAATTCAAAATCGATACCCTCTAATTTCAAGACCACCCACCAGGCGTGAGTTCAGAATAAAACGTCTCAATGTCTTTTCAAGATCACATCGTCCACGAGAATTCTAAAACAATTAGGCGTCGTGAGTTCAGGATTGGGGCGCCATCCTTTTGCTACCATGTTGGCTAGTGTCCACTTGGGTTTTTGGCTTTCTTGGGATGCATTTGGCCCTCACACCAGCAATCTCCTGTTGGGTCAGTTCCAGTTTAGAGCTCCTGCAGATGGAGATATGATCAATCATTGATATGCAAATGGGGAAATTTTTGCAAATTTTATTCCATTACTGTGAGCCCCACATTGATAGGGTGCACTATAAAGTTGTGCCAGCTTTATGAGTTTGTGGCAATAAATACTGCACAATCCCCATGTAGATTAGCTCAAGGGTACAGATTTAATGAGGCTCAATCATACCCAGAAACTGCAAACCAGATATGATGATCATAGTTTCAATACATTTATTAGGCTACAGAAGTCAAACTTGCAGATAGAAAGCAACACCCAGAAATTATGGTGTTATCTTCTTCAACCCCAATCCTTTTCTGCAAATCTAAGGACAGTTTAAAATAGTCTATAGCCCCTCCAAATCTCCTTTCCTCTACCCACTCCACCTACCCCTATTTGAAACTTTGTTTTCTAGTTCTTGTAATAAAAGCCACAACTCCAAACTTTTTATTAGTCTAAAGTCAAATATTATATTTTATATACTGCATTCATATTCACACCTGAAACTAATCAAACTCCTCTCAAAACAACTTTTCTAGTAGCATTGCTATTATTTGCTTCATGATGGGTGAAACTAATTTAACTTGGGACAATCCTATCAAGTTAGTCAGGCTATTGACTTAGTAACTATAATATTACAAGTTTTATTATGAAGGTAGTGTTCTATTAGTCTTCTTAGTTTGAGTCGATCTGTGATCTAGGCTGGTTTATCTCTTTATGGTCATTTAAAACCTACCACCAAAGTAAACCAACCTAAGTTGTTCAAAGCTGATTAGCTCTAACCAATTAAAAAGATTAATAGACCGTTTCAACTGAGAGTCGAACTTGAAACATTGTGATTATCAAACCAATAAGGGCGTTAATATAATGCAAGATTAAGGAAGGTAATCCAACCAAGAATTGATAAAGCAGTGGCATTATATTCAAGAAACAAACAAAGAAATACACGGGAGAATGTGAAACTGCGACAATTCCATAATTTGCAGGAGACACAGACGAATATATAATCAGAATGGCAGAAAGAAAATGCAAAATTACCGTTCAGCATTATAAGACGAAGATCTCTTTAAGCCTGGAAATGCCTCCTTCTTTGTCTCTATCAAGCTCCCACTGAAGTATTCTTTGTCTTCGAGGTTTACTTTTACCGGGAACTCCACCGCTAGGTCTTTCTCCACGTGATTGCCGCCGGCGGCGGCGGCGCGTGGCAGTCTCGCCTTGTAGTGGGAGATGAGAGAAAATCCGTGGTCTTTGCCGTGGCCGGCGCCGCAGTCCCGGAAGGAAATGGAGCCGCAGGAGAGTAATTGCAGAAGAACTGACGGTGATTTCGGTTTTCCTTTTGCGGCGGTTGCGTCTTCGCCGGCGGCGGGTTCTGAACGGAGCACGAGCCTTCCGTCGGCCTTCATTAGGGTTTCTAAGGTTTCCGGGCTGGAATCCGACGGCGGCGGCGAAATCTCGCCTCTGCTCAGCTCCGTGCTCTGGCTCCGGACCGGAGTTTTCCCTTCCCCGTCCTGTTCTTTGCCCTTTTCTTCCCCGTCTTCCTCCTCCACGACCCGACCCGGTCTTCTACGGCGTCGTTTATCGTCCGTTTGAGTCGAAGCGTCGGCTGCTCTGCCGGAAGATTCTCCGGTCGACTCCGCCTTGTACACTCTGTACTCGTGGAAGTCAGACGAGCTCCAAGATTGGTTCCTCCTCCGCGCCGTCACCGGATACTCGCCGGATTTCCGAACGTCCGGCAAGAGCGGCGCCGAACTGGAAAATCCCAATTCTTCCGACGGAGAAATCAGTGCCCCATCCATCATCAGCTCCGAGCCCTTGAGAACATACTCTTGCCCATGCGCCGGATAAATGAAATCATTCTCCGACAAATCGTGCCACACAAATCCATTCTTGTAGCTCCTGTAAAATTTGGAAATTTCAGAGTTTCCGACAATAACATTCCATAAATAATTACACACATAAAGTTTCAAATTTGAATCAAATATAATTGTTGAATACTATGGATATAGTAAGGGAAAAAAGACATAAAAAGTCACCTTTTTGCAGACCAGGAATAAAGAGAAGCCAAGCCTTTTCCCCGGAGAAAATTCAAACTGTTGATCACATCTGTAAAGCGCAAAACATAATAACTTTTAATAAGTCAAAAAAGTTCAATCTTTCTCCATATTTCCCGGCTAAAGTTTCAATCTTTTTCGTTCTCTTTTACCTCTGAGATAGAGCCCTTCCGGCGAGGAGAGAGGGACCTCCATGAAATGAGGGTGTTCGAGCTGGCCATTCCGGGAGAGGTAGTAAACGACGGCGACTTTCCGTTCCGATTTGGGCTTCGCGTTGGGCGGCTCCGTCCAGACTCTGGTCCGCTCCGGGCTGGTCTCCGCCGCCGTATGCTTCCATCTCTTCGACGTGTAAAGCTCCATGGTCGTCTTCGCGGATCTCGACGTTGCCGCCATTTTGTTTTGTTTACCTCCAAAAACCAGAAAACTTACAGAGAAAAACAGAGCCCAGAAACTGATGATAAGCGATATACTGTTACGTATGTGACTAAGGCATGGCGTTTCCCGAGACTGGAGATTAAACTGGAAGTTTGCGTAAGCATTTTCACGTTTATAAGCATGGCGGAGGGGCCCAAGGGGTGGGATAGGGTGGGTGGGTGGTGGAGGGTGGGGGGTTTAAGCGAGGGAGAGAAGAGAGATTCAAAACCGGATGCGGCAGACAACAGCTAGAGAACAAAGTTGTTGAAAGGTGTTTAGGATTCAGTACTTTTTGGCCATTCTACCAATTGAAGAATACTACAAGATGAAGGTCTTGTTTGGCAACAAGTAATTAGTGGATTGTATTAGCAGTAATGGATAACGAATTTTTGGGTAAAATTAACTGTTTAAAGTAATGATTAACATGTAAAATAATCTATGAGAGTATACATATATCTTTTGTGAAATAAAGATATACATATATTTAATAATAATACTAAAAGGAATAATATATTTTTTTTAAAAAGGCCTTTTGTATTTTCACATCGGTGAGAAAAGTAAGAATGGAATTAAACATATCCGAATTAAATTTGGTTTGGATATTGGGTATCAAAAACATCATCTGGAATTTTTAGATATTCAAAATAAAATTTGGATATCTCCTGAACTAAAGCGACGGCCACCCCTACTCAAAACTCAAGTTGGTTAACCATTTGCTGCCCATCCGAAAATGCTTCTTATTAAAGTATCCTTAAGGCGTCGTTGGCAGTTAATTTTTTTTTTTAAAAAAAAAAATTATAAGCAGGGGCATTTTGGGGAAAGACTTTTCTTTCTCTAAAATGCCATCAGCAAACGCGACAAATTACAGTGCTTGCGAAATTGGTGGTTTGGAGCAAATTGCTGCTCGAAATTGCCATATTACCAAACATTTATTTTGGCGTTTTGACCAAGGTTAAAATGTCAAAATGATGGATACGTCATTTACCAAATTAGCATGAAGCCTAGAAGCGATGCATTTTCAATCTTTAGAGTCTAATTACATAAAATATAACATCATATTGGTACAATATTAATCAGAGTTAAACCTCGTTAATTAATTAATACGTGTAAAATATGACGAGATTGAATTAATTGATTTCAGCGATTAATCAAATCTACTATTACAAAGTATGAGTATAAAAATTAGTTTCAAACAACCGTCCATATAAGCATTTCACTTTTGATAGAGCTGATTGATGTATTAGTTATAGTATTCAATAAATATGAATAATTTTAGTAGGGAGAGGTTAGAATTGTTACATTTGCCATATTCATAATGGGGCAAGTTGGTTTGCAAGTTGTGGAGGCTTCACATGATGATGTCAAGTTGCTTGTAGCGATTAATATCATGAATGTGTCTGAGTTATGCTTTATTTTTTTCCTCCATTCTTATATATAAAAAACAATATTATTTTTTATATATAAATTTATCTCGTAATGTCTTAATGTGCCAATAAAATTATTTATTTTTATTAAATGTTATAAATTGATCAATGCCATCATATTTATATAAAAAAAAACTCATAATTAAATTCAATTAAAGAACATATTGATAAATTTAAGACAAAATTCTAGCACTACTATGAAAAATTATACAAAATAGTTCACCATTATTTTATATAAATGTTCTTAGAAGTTCACCATTTGGAAAAAGAATAGTTAAGACTACAATGATGGCAATGGAAATAAAGTCAAAGATGCTTCTTTTTCATTTGAATAATTTTCGAAGTCTAGTTTGAACTATATTTTATTATTATTATTATTATTATAGTGTCCCATAAAATCACATCTAATAAATACTTTAAGCAATTCTAATTGTGCATTTTTTTTTTTGAGAGTTTTCGCAAAGAAAAAAAAATCAAAGAGAGGCTTTTAACAAATGAGAAGATGAAACCAGTTTGATTGGCGTGAATGATCGTGCACTCTTTTTACTTAAAAGAGGTCGAAAGTTTGAACCCCTATCGTATGAGAAAATCAATCTGGTCAACATTTTGTCCCTTAATTGGGCCGGTCCTGTGTGAATGGGGATTAATCTGAGTATGGTAGGGTCGTATGGGCTTAAAGATGCTTAAAGGTGTCTCCTATAGTTAAGGTCTGCTCATGACACGTCGTGGTATGAAAAAAAAACAAATGGGAAGATGAGTTTTTGGGGGAATTTTTTTTTCCCACAAATTAAGTGTTTTGTAGGGCCCTCCTTTTGAACAAATTGACGACGCGCGTTCAGGGTAAGTCTGCGCCCAACTTGGCGTGTGCAGATTTGTTTTTTTTTTCTTCTTCTTCTTTTTATTTGTATCTTTTTTTTTTCTCTCTCTCTCCTCTCTTTCCTAATTGACACCTCAACAACCTTAAAAAAAACCCACAACTAATGAAGTTGCTGGTATAGCTTGCGTATGAGACTACGAGAATAAATCTAATTACATCAATTTATTATCTATTCATTTGATTTACGCAAAAATATACAACTATATCCGAATATATATATATATATATATATATATATATATATATATATATATATATATATATATATTTTGAGCAAAGCTCATCTTATAATCTTAACGGGTAAAAGATTGGTTGATCAGTTCAAATAAAAAATGTCATTAAGTAAGTTCCGTTACTCTTATAAAAAGTTAAATTTAAAATTTTGTAATTATCAAATTAATTTTTCGATCAATTCGATTGAAGTTGCTCATATTGTATCGTACTTAGTACTTGAGATTGTGCTTTCATAAAATGCATCAATAGACGTACCAAAAGACATTAATAAAGCTCCAGTAAAATCATATGATAACAATTAAGTCTAAGGTAAATTAAGCTCGTAGCAGGACCCCGGGGCAATAGTTTGCAAGCTCCAATTGTAACTTTTGAAAATATTTTGTTATTTTAGGATTCTCTTTCGATGACCCAGTCTAATGTAATGTATTATGATTTATTAAGAGTTCTACTACATGCACTTCTAAATTATACTTCTTTATTTCTATTTTCTGAGGTGACAAATCAAGATTGATTATTTTCATTATATGGGTTCACTGAAAAATGCCTACATCAAAAAGATGTGAGAGAGTACAAGTTGGGAGTATAAAATGGGAGTACACCAAGTATTTTCCTTAATTAATTATAGTGTATTATATTGTTATACGAAATTTTTATGGTTGAAAAGAATTAGGAAAAAATTAATCTTTTATTGAATGACGATGAAAATATACAACCACTATTCAAGTGTTGCACCGGGTAAACTATGTTCTACATATGAGAGATAAACTGCATTAGAAAGACTCTATGATGAGCTCAACCAAAATGGTGTTTGATACTGCTAATTATACGTAAGCAATATGAAATAAGCCGAGACCGAATAAAGCAAGTAAATGTCTTTATTGATCACGGTAAAGGCCCTAAGTACAATCTACTTGGTTGCTCTGAGTACCGACTGACTGCGGTCGGGATTCTCTAACAACAACCTATCGATCGTCCAAAAGTCCCCTACACTGTAGCTACTGTGGGTATTTATAGCCGCTATGCCGGGGACAGGATTCCAGCCGTTCGGCATGTCCTCCACGTAGCCACCACGTGTCGTCCTCCCGGGTGCCCTGTCTGTCGTCGTAGAGAATCGCCACGTGTCTTTCGTCAGCTCTCTCGCCAAAGGGCTACCGCTCGGCGGTCGACACCGTCGCTCGGGCAACTCCCGGTCGGCCCCCGACCGGGCTCTTCTCAAGGAGCCCGACCTGTTACCTGCAAAGACAAAGAGAAAAAGACAAAAGCTTCTCGGTCGTGGTGAAGCTATGTCGGTCGGGATATTCCCTACCAAGAGCCCCCCAGCCCGGGCCTTTTTGATCGTCCGGGAAAAAATGGGCCGGGATGAAGAAGCCCAACCGCCGGCCGCTAAACCGACCGGCCAGCTGTCATTCCCTTCTCCGCCACGTGTCGGCCACTGCCGGCCTCTGCGACTGCAACCGTCGCCTCGGAATCAGCGCTGGTCGTGTCACGCAAGTGGATGATTTTCCCGCCCAAACGCTCTCCTATAAATAGGTTCCTGAGGCCTTCATTTGAACTTTCCTCAATCTTCTGAAGCAATCGGTACCCTCAGAGAGTCCCGAGCAGCAGATCAGCAATCCGATCAAGCAAAGCAAAACTTCAGATCCTCTTCCAAGTTTCTTCACTCGGTAAGCTCCTAGTTCCTTACTCTTTCTTTATTCTTCACTTAGCGTAGAAGTAGGATAGCACTAACTTCGAGCTAACTCCCCGAACCCTGTACTAACTCCCGACCGACCTTTAGGTAGAATTATGTCGGACTCGGATAGTCAAAACGTTTCGGTCGCGGACTACGACAATACGCTCGAGCAAAGCAGCGAGGAGGTGGACATCATGTCCTATTCTCCAGAGGTCGGGCAACGACCGCCGCCAGCGCCCGAGCGAGCCCCCGAGCCAGAAGAATCCACCAGCTCGTCGGAGACGTCGGGGTCGAGCTCCAGCAGGTCGGGGAACGAAGAAACGTCTACGAGCGGACGGAATTCCCCGGCCGAGGACGTCCAAAGAACGCCGCTGAGGGTAATAGGGGATTGCCCTCAGATCGAGCCTGAAGAAGAGCATCAGGCTAACGAAGCAGAGGCCGTTGAAGGAAGTCCGGCCGAGCCGGCCGCGCCACGCGGAGACGGGTACGAGTTCCTCAACAGCGAAAGCGTGGAAGGCCATAAGAGCTTGCTGACCAACGGGGAGGCAAGCAGGATTGCGGCGGTTCTCGCTGGTCGGGTCGAGTTCGACACCAGCAGGCAGCTCGGGAATATCATCGAGCGGCACCAGGGGAAATGGATCGGGCTGCATTACGACTCGCTAATGGCCCCGATCACATTCCCCTTTTCGAGCCTTCTCACCGCGTTCCTAGGGTACTACCAGGTTATGCCCGGGCAGATTTGCCCGAACGCGCATCGAATGATCGCGTGCTTCCCCCAGATCTGCCGACGACACGACGTGGCCTGCACCATGGAGCTCTTCAACTTTGTCTATCAAGTGAAGGTGCTAGCGGCCGCATACGGAGGGGGTTTCTTAATGACACAGTCCCGAGCCGATAGGTGCTCGATCGAGGGACTGGCCGTGAACAACCGGGGGTGGAAGGACCGGATCTTCTCTGTGAAGTATGATCCGTGGATCCTCCCGGTCGAGAGGGTTTGGAGCCAGCGCTTTCGGAAGCAAGTCATCCCAGTCGAGACGCCGACCCTCATCGACGCCGTGGCCAAGATCTCGG